AAGTGAAAAGCTGCGTGTTTGTAAGAAACAAATCCATCATTAAGGCTTTTTAACTTTAAGCCATCACTTCTGGCTAAAATACGAGTCCAATAACGCTTCCTCCAGTGAAAAAGTCCATCCCCTGTTGTCCTCTCACATCAAAATCCACCGACATATTTGTTTAGATTGTTTTGGACTGTTTTTGCTTGTAAACGTTGCTTGATCTATGCATATTTCTCTCCTGAATAAGACATTTTCACTGGAGAAAGCAATATAATGGATAGAGGACGAAGCTACGATTTAAAGTGAAAACGTCTTAATAATGGATTTGTTTCTTAAAAACACGCAGCTTTTCACTTCACAATATGTTAATTGATGGACTGGAGTGGTGTGGATTACTTGTGGATTATTGTGATGTTTTTATCAGCTGTTTGGACTCTCATTCTGACGGCACCCATTCACTGCAGAGGATCCATTGGTGAGCAAGTGATGTAATGTTAAATTTCTCCAAATCTGTTCTGTTGAAGAAACAAACTCATCTACATGTTAAATGGCCCGAGGGTGAGGAAATTTTAAGCAAATTTTACATTTCAGATAAACTATTCCTTTAAGAAAGTTTTGAATTAGGCGTTTGAAACCAAAAAAAGATGAATTTTGTGTTATTGGATTTTGACTCAAACCCTTATAGTTACTGAAATGAAGTCCAACTTTCCGCGGTCTTCTCTATATGTAATCAGAACAGATTCCCAAAACAAACAGTAGATAGGCCTACTACAAATTTGCTGTAGGTTTATTTAAATGTTTGTCCACGCGAGGCCGCTGTTTTTCCTCTTCCACTGACAATGAGAGGCGGCAGCAGCGCAGCATCCCGCATCACACTGAAGGATGCTGGCAACCATGTCTGAAAAAACACACACACGTCCACATATGGCCGACGAGGTGAAAACAGCGATGTAGCTTTGAAGATGCCATCCTTTTTCGTCTCTCGTTTTCTCTTCTTTATATTTTTTTCCGGTTTTAAAGGGACAGCTGGTAAATCGATCCCTGAAAGGGAAGCTCTCGGTGAGTAGAGAATAAAGGGGCGCATAGCGGGTCTGGATGAGGGAGCGGTGGTCTATTTTATGCCCAAAACATCGAGCAAGCGAGCCAAATGCTACTGCAAAAACGTATTATTTATATGCATCGGTCTATGTTTGCTGAATGCAAATTCTGAAATGCAGATTTTGACGAATGTTACTCAAAATGCATCGCATGGCTTTATAGACAGAAAACAGTAAGTGCACATTATTGGAATATCGGCCTTTATAAATTCATTACCAGTCTGACATTCTCAAGCTATTGGCTGCATTAAAAAAAGCACATTTAAGCTTTTGTGTGTCTATCAATTATACAAATCTAAGATTTGCTGAGGCCCACTGACTGCTGATTATGAATGTGCTAATTTATTACTTTAGCTGTCTATATTGTTTCAGAGTGAGTTTTGAATGCTAAATGAAAGCTACCTCATATTCTTTTTTATGAGAACCATGCCGTTATCCGTGTTAAAAAATCTAAGATATTTCTATATGCATTTGGTCTTTTAGTGTGCCATATATCTGGTTATAATTGAGGTTTCTTATTATTGACTTCTTGTTTCTGAATCTAAACGTGTCAGAAGATGTTCTTGCTAGGTCATATGAACTTGTTTTATCTCTCTCAGAGGTGCAGGTGAGGGTCCAGGTGTTTGACAGCGGTGATCTTTCACCCCTGGTCAACGCTGCTATTGCTGTTCGTGGTAACCAGACTCTGCTGGCACAAAGCAAAGCAGGCAGTGATGGCGTGCAGGTCGTCAGCTTCCTGTACCGCACGGGAACATGGGTAATCATTACAGCATCTCAGAGAGATTACCTCACCAGCTCAGTGCCATGGCACGCCAGCCGTTTACCCTGTGAGTAAACATTAATGTGAACTGTATAAATTGTGCATTATATATAAGTTGCATCTTGTTCGGAATCTGACATTTTTCTTCATTTTGTATCATAAATTCTTTGTTTTCAATGTTTCAAAATCAGAGCCGATCCTCCTTATACGCAAAATACGCAAGCTGCGTAGGGCCCCCGAAACACCAGGGTGCCCCCTTGCTCTCAAAGATGATTTAATTTTAGTTTCGTTTTTGAATTTGGCCAGCAGTTATGAAAACATGAATGATAATTTCTTTTAATGCGGTGTGCTGTCGCTCTTTCTACGTAAAAATCAGTCAAATCATGTAATGTGAATGTCGTACAGTCTTGCTCGAGACTAAAAAAACAAGTTGAAAGCTTACCGAGCCACGGAAGATACTGATTGAAGAGTCTATCTTTTTGACAACCTGATTTCTTTGTTAGCTCAGGTTTTGTTTTTCTTGTAGGCCTCATTGATCTGAGCTCATTGATCTGAGCTTATGCATCTCATGCATGAAAAAAGCATTATTTGTGGATAATTTTGGCAATGTTTTCTCAAAAACTGAGGTGTATAAGCTAAGATCTGACTGCCTATGATCAGTCAGTTCCAAAAAGAAATGCAAAGCCTGTGCTAATTGGTAAAAAGAAAGTTGATACAAAGACTGAATCCAACATCTGATAATAATATAGGTTAACAAGAAATTTATAAGCATTTATTTGTAGGCCAGTAATTTTTGGCCGGGAACATCAACTGTAACAAGGTTGAAAAATTAACAAATTTTTTTGGGGGAAGTTATTATACACTGTGTGACCAAAGACAATTTTAGTCCAATCCGATAACATTAACTACCATTTTCGGGAAAAAGAAAATCCTCTCTGGACCAAACTGACCAGAACACAACATGAGGGTTAAACAATAGGGGAAAAAAAAAAGCAGACTTTCTCAGACTTTTTATACTATTGTCACATCGACCATTTCTGATATAAGTGAAGTTTATAATGACATACTTTAACATGCTGTTCTCTCTATGGCATAACAGACATTTATGCCTATTTTAATTTACTACCTTTTTAACACATCTCTGTCTCGTTTAGTATATGCCTCTGTCAGTCTTTACCTGATGGCCCAGAAGCCCGGCACACTGATCCTATATGATGATGTCATCCAGGTGTTTCATGGCTCCCCAAGTAAGAAAACATCAATGACTTTTAAAACAACTTTATATA